TATGTAGGATTGGTAAGAACGGAACGTATGAATAGAGTGTGGAACGGAGCGTTAAGATGTGAGTGAGAGAAAACTGAAAGAAAGGGAGAAGAGAATGACAGATAGAATGACAGAGAATTGCAAGATGGCGAAGACGGTTGAAAAATGAGTAAGACGTAATAAAATTAGTGTTAATTATTAATTACTATTAGGTATAATAGAAGATTTTGGAATAGTGTAACTTTTATTTTGTGCGCTGCGATCCCTATTCTACATGTATATACGCGGGAAAACTGGAGAAAACATTATTGCTTGCTAGCTTCTCCGTCGAATATTTACGGTGAGGTCGCACGCTTCGGCACGATATCTCTCTCTTGTGTCTATGGAATGTCACTTTGCCTCTACAGACTGTTTAAACGTTTAACGCCGGGTTCCACCCGTCTATATTTTTTTTACAGTTTTATGAATTTGTCAGCTAATAAATATAATATGTCATAGGCAGCATTCAGCTCACAGCCCACCTGGTGTTAAGTGGTTACATAGACATCTACAACGTAAATGCGCCACCCATCTTGAGATATAAGTTCTAAGGTCTCAATTATAGTTACAACGGCTGTCCCACCCTTCAAACCGAAACGCATTACTGCTTCACGGCAGAAATAGGCAGGGTGGTGGTACCTACCCGTGCGGACTCACAAGAGGTCCTACCACCGGTAATTACGCAAATTATAATTTTGCGGGTTTCATTTTTATTACACGATGTTATTCCTTCACCGTGGAAGTCAATCGTGAACATTTGTTGAGTACGTAGGTATTTAATTAGAAAAATTGGTACCCGCCTGCGGGATTCGAACACCGGTGCATCGCTCAACACGAATGCACCGGACGTCTTATCCGTTAGGCCACGACGACTTCATATATAAATCATTTTATTTTTATAAGTGATTAATAATTGATGAGAATTTAAGCGCTTTAAAAGAAAAAAATATAAGCCTGATTTCTTTGACACCCTGCTTTTTATTTTTGATTCGAAATAAAAAAATAATAATCAATTTAGGAGGAGCTAATCAACCAAAATCTATAAATATTAACCCTGAATCTTCGGAAAGCCGCAATCAATAAGACGTCCACGTCACATCCGGTCAGCGGCTTCCGGGCCGTTTCCGTTTCCTGTCTACCCTCACATCCGGAACTGACGTAATCGAGAGAAACTTTTCGGGGGTAAATTAATAGTTGGATAAATAGAAGCACTTAGATCTCGGCTCGAAGTATGACGCGTTTGTTTCGGAGTTAAAGCACCTTTCTGCCTCTGAAGACTGTGAAAGTCTCATCTCGCCTTCTATATATTTATTTTACATTACTTTCTGGATCTTGCTATAATATCAACGTCATTAAATGGTAAACCACCTGTTACCACGAAAACTGTAAAGTATTGAAAAAGTCGGAACTATTAAGATGAAAACATTAAACACGAGATTAAATCTCCGAAAATTATTCGAGTCTACAAATTAGACACTAATTAGGTGGCTAAGAGAAGCTTAAGTACTGTTCTGAATATGTTATGACATCACAATACCAATTGTCTATTAAGACAATGAATATATTTTAATTATAATTGTGCTAAATTTCAAGTTATAGACCATTTTCGGTCAGAGACTGACTACAACCCATTACGTTAAATACTTATCGCCATATGCAGTGCCGGTTTTTTTTTCGCATTTCCTTCCTTTTAAAAAGATTTCTAAAATTATCGAAGCATCTGTGAAGATCGCAGATAACGTATCTAAGAGGGCATAGACTGCAGTTTATTTTATCTGTGGTTCGCACAGTTAATGACTGTTGCGTTGACAGTTGGCGCCAAAGTTTTTTGTTTGTTTTTTTTCTTTGCTTCATGACACACGCCTCACACGTCGATGTCCTAATTAGGATAATTAATTGTTAAATTTGAAAAACTGTTTATTGAGCAGTTAATAGTTTAAATTTAGTGATGATTTGGTAACAAATATTGTGCGAGACGTGATATTTTTTTAATTGATAATGTATCTAAATTTATATTTATAAGAGAAAACCCCGATTATCTTGCCTATTTCTTTTAGTGTTCCAACTAAAGTCCGAATCGATGGTAGACGTGGATATTCAAAAGCGTCTGTAAGCTGCTTGAATAGTGTTCATTTTGACTCGTACAGATGGTCTTCTAAGCGATCGGCTACACCGCTGTCAATTGCCCGGAATCCAATTCCTGTGCAAACAATATTTACACTACAAAATACGAGAGAAGAGACGTAACGGGTTTTTACTATAGGCTCTATTTAATTTACGACTGAGGTTAGTGACTGGATCTTTTTTTTTTTTATTGCTTAGTTAGGTGGACGTGCTCACAGCCCACCTGGTGTTAAGTGCTTACTAGAGCCCATAGACATCCACAACGTAAATGCGCCACCCACCTTGAGATACAAGTTCTAAGGTCTCAAGTATAGTTACAACGGCTGCCCCACCCTTCAAACCGAAACGCATTACTGCTTCACGGCAGAAATAGGCAGGGTGGTGGTACCTACCCGCGCGGACTCACAAGAGGTCCTACCACCAGTAATTACGCAAATTATAATTTTGCGGGTTTCATTTTTATTACACGATGTTATTCCTTCACCGTGGAAGTCAATCGTGAACATTTGTTGAGTACGTATTTCATTAGAAAAATTGGTACCCGCCTGCGGGATTAGAACACCGGTGCATCGCTTCAACACGAATGTCACACACCGGACGTCTTATCCGTTAGGCCACGACGACTAAAGTAATGTCAGTCTATTTTAATATTAATCTGGGATATGAATGAAAATGTTTTTAAAATTTTTCGTGTTGACTTTTTTCCGGAAATAAAAGTAAAAAAACTTATAGAAAAAGGAATTTTTATATTTTGCATTTTTCACTTATTACTAAGACTTTAAGCGGAACACTTATACTTTATTACTAAGTAAATTATCTCCGATTTTATGGTGATTATACAGAGTTCGTAGTTAGCCGTAAAAAAATTACTTACACTTACAACGCACATGCAATACAATTAAACTCTACACAATATATTAAAGAAAAAATGTTTTTTTTTTTTGTTTGAAGTTGTAAAAAACTGTGTGTTCGTTATAACATGAAAGCGAACGATTCTTTAAATTTAAATGTGTAAAAACTGTTTAACTGAAATATGTAAAAACTTTTTTAATTTCATTCGTTTTAAAAATATTGAAATCTAAAATAACATTACATTACTTTCATTAAAGTAATTAAGCTGCAAACGTAATCATGTCTATAAGTAGAAGATTTAATGCATTATTCTGTACTTTAATCTAATGTTTTTATGTTAAATTGCTAATGTCGTAAAGTGATTATAAAATAATCAATAGACATATAGTTCGTGTAGGCTATTTGTGGCATAATAATATGATTTGCCTTGACATTCAATACTTGAAGTCAATTGTCTTAGCAAATCACAGGGAAAAGTCTAAGTGTATAATTCAACCGGATATGACGTACTGAACCTGGCTAAAACTCAATTACGTCTTAGGATTGGGGACGAATGTATACCTAGAGCTGACGACTCACTGACCAATGTTTTATAGATGTTTTTAGTTTTTATTGTGGCATTTATAAATAATCATCATGAAGAAACATCGTCAGATTATCTATAGCTTGTAACTGTTGGCATTGTTAATCTATATATTAATTCGTGAAGCAAAAACTTCGTACACATTTTTACGAAATTGCGCGAACGGAGAATTATGAAATTTCCCATACTTATAGAGAATATAGAGAGAAGGAGTGCAAAATGTTAATTTTTTTTAAATTATGCATAAAAATACTTTAAATCGATAATAAAAAAAACATTATACACACTACCATCTAATTGACACACACACGCATAATACTCTTTTGCTTATTGTTATAAAGTCTGTGGTCAAATTGATAACAGATTAATATTGTTTGTCTTTATGGTTATTTTTCTATAGTGTAGCTTTTCTGGAATCTGTGATTATAGTAGTCTTTGAAAATAGATCCATAATAATGTTCAAACTTATAATTTCAATTAATTATAGTCGAATTTCGACTACTGAGGGAACACTAGTGCAACATAAGGGTTTATTTGCTTATGTGCCAGTGGAGACTTAGTTAACTTGCAATCCTTTGAGCTTGATCTTTAGGTATTATTCAAGAGGTTACCCGTACAAAAAAAAAAGGTTTACTTCTTCAATGAAGATTTAATAATTAAAATTATTAAATCATGTTTTCAATCGTACTGACTTGATTTACGTCCCTTATGTATAATTAAATAGATAATTGTATATTTATAAGTTTACATTTCACGGGCATGTAAAATATAAACGATTTCTTTTAAAACGAAATTTTATCTCAACTCATTAAAACGGCGAAATATAAATTATTTAAAAACATCTAACCGGCTGTTAATCTTGTCCGAAATTTTTTATAACATTACGAATTAACATAAAATCGGTATCCACCGTCACGATCCGACCCGATAGGGTACACGATCAAAACACAACTCGTGGAGATCAAACAATCGTCTCGCAATTAATAACAACAAAAAATAAAAACAAAAAGATTAACACGACCAGATTAAAAACAAAGTCAAAAAACCTAGGGGCCCGATCGTACGCCATAAATCATACTCATTATAACCGAACCGGATTATTTTTTACCCGAATAAAATGTTCAAAAAAGCATCAAAAGGCTATAGGGGGGCGCCATCTTGTCGGGGTATCGATGATTAGGGCGGGAAGGTACGAACCGGTCATCCAATCGCGAGCGGCAATTTCGAAAGGCGTTCGATAAGCCCACCAATGGGCTTTTAGGTCGTTACGATCATGCGCAGTCGAGACGATCCATACAATTATACTTTTTATACGGCAGTGTGGGCTTGGCCGATGAGGTGAGCAGGCGCGCGTGTCTAACATCCTACAAATAAAATTATGCCGAAGTGCCTAAGGACATAGTGAATTTAGCTAGTCAATATTATTGGTGTTTATCGAACGTTGTTACGCGGCAGAGTGACGTGGTTTTGCGAGAGACTTCGAACGTTGGTTCAGTGTGGTCGTCAGTGATGGTGATGGCCAGCGGCGGTGGTGGAGGGCTGATACAGTCCCCACCCGACATGATGCACCATCACAATATCATGGACACTTCATCTCACGTTGAAATGATGCCAAGTCAGTATAAAACCATGTTATGTCAGGCTCGATCGACATACGCTTAGTTATTTTAGTACTCTTTTTGGTGGGCAGCGGCTTGGCTCTGCTCCGGCATTGCTGAGGTCCATGGGCGACGGTAACCGTTCACCATCAAGTGAGCCGTATACAGGTCTGCCTACAAACGCAGTAAAAAAAATGTATGACATCTTTGTTCACTTTACACATTTTAATAGATTTGACTAAGTCTGATTTTCATCACAATAAATAATGTCTGACCCCTGCAAAGCATTTTGACATTGCCTCACTGATTTAAAATTCCTAAAAGAATTATATTTAATGTAAATATCAAGGTTTTGTCGTCATAAATTTTCTCATTTATACTTGTTAAATATTTAAGGTATGGCTTGATGTTTCAATTTAGGCCTTTAATTGTCAATAGATACTTTTATTGTTAAGTTACCTGTTTTGATATTTAATGTATTTCAAAGACGTTGGACTAGAAGTTATTTTTAAAAATTATTAAAAAAAAGATTTAAAAGTTATTTTACGAGTCTGTAAAATTTTGTATATAAATTTAAAAATTCTACCATAAGCATTGTAAGAGTCTACATTTTCTTGTGATTAGAATATAGATTGAGGAAAGATAAATATTATTATTATCTTATTCGAGATTAAACAAGTTAAAAGAAATTTAAAATTTAAATTTTACATATTAAATTATAAATTTTAATTTTTGTTAAATTTTGCAAATACACTGCAAAACATGTTCCGAAAATATAAAACAATTTTTCTTAAATCATCTTACGAATACTGCCATAATCTATTATAAGTGTTACATAAAATTTAATTGATCATATTCATATTTTGCAAGTTTTAATGTATTTTTTTACTTTTATGGCGCTGTGATTCATAACAATGTGATTTTTTTAGTTAAACAAAAGACCGTCTATCTTAAAATGGAATTTATTAAGCAACAGCACATGTTTTTAAGTGTTTTTTTTTACAAATTCTTTTAACTACTATTTTTATGATTGAATATTGGATAAGTGGATCGTTTGGATCCTCTGGACCGCGGAGGGATTTCGGTCCTCCCTGTGTTTTTATCAAACGTTTTATAGAGCTGAGAAGATATTTAAAACAATTAGCATTCTCAAATCTCACTGCTCGCCACTAGAGCAGAGTTCATCCATACTACTTGAGTACTTGGAAACACTGCACTGATCCGCCTTTTGTTTTATCTCCTTTCCCACGCACCCAAGCTCTCAATAACTACCCGGCTCTAAGATTAACTTCTCTTCTACGCGATTTCATTTTCTGTTCAGTTTTACGATATGTTAATAATAATAATAAATAATAAATATTTAGTAACAATCACACCACGTTAACTGGTCCCGTGATAAGTTCGTAAAGAACTTGTGTTACAGGTACCAGATAACGGATATAAATGTAAGATTTTTATTATACACGTACATATATTGAAGATACATCCATAACCCTGGAAAAGACATTTATATTTATCATGCAAATACCTTCCCTTGGCGGGATTCGAACCAGCGACCCCCTTGTGTAGTGACCATGTCACTTACCACTACACCAGACGGCCGTTGTAATCCTTTTAATGAGATTTGAAGAGAGTTCTTAGCGGTAGACATTGGCTGTGCCTCCGCTATTGTTAATGTCCATAAGCATCAGTGACTGTTTACCATCAGTTAATCTTAGCAATCCTTTTAGTATGTTTAAGTGTGACCATTTAAATTCTTGTGGTTTTTTTGCATAGCGTTAATATTACCAATATACTGTAACATTGTTTAACATAAATAACATTGTGCGTAATATAATTTAATTCCTCAACTGCATATGGTGGTAAAATTGCTCAAGTAATCCACTAATAATATTATAAGTAATCACAACTTTTACCCCTAATAAGGGTTAAAAATATAAATCTACCGACCCCTATATTGACGTAGCTCACGAATAATACCCGGAGGGATGAAACAGCCCTTAGTTATAAATCAATCCGGTTTACCCTTACTACACATTTATTGGTCGAAGTAAGCATTTTCTTGGTTCGCAAATATCGCGCTAATGTATGATCTAAAAAAAAGAAGGTTTCTACTCGAGTGACGCGATTTCTCATCGGATGATGTGAACGAACTTTTGAAATCTCCAGTTATAAATACATATTTTTTATATCTCCTGTTACTGTTTTTATCGTTTTGTTGTTTTGTTTTGGTCTGCTTACTATGTTCTCACAGTAGTTATAGAGATTGAGGCTTCCAACGAGATATCCTTTGAGACGTGACATACAACTACTGAGACCTTAGAACTTATATCTCAAGGTGGGTAGCGCATTTACGTTGTAGATGTCTATGAGCTCCGGTAACCACTTAACACCAGGTGGGCTGTGAGCTCGTCCACCCATCTAAGCAATAAAAATTAAAAAAAAAGGTGCAGTGCGGTTCTCTGAAGATGATTTTTTTTTAAATCTTTAAAGCTGTAAAAGAGATTTGTTAATGTGAAGATTTTTTTTATATATTTATAGATAAAAATGACAATTACAAACATAAATTAATGTATTCTCTAAAAAAACATTTGTGATTAGTGTATTATTAATTTGAAGACTTGACGTCGAATTATTGCATTCTATAATAGTCCCGGTATTAAAAGTAGAACGGATGACTGTTTCGCGGCAGAAAGAGGACTGTCTCGCGGCAGAAAGAGGCTGACCTAGTCTCTGCCCTACCGCCTATAGCAAACCTACTTATTTTCATTAACGAACTGATGTTATGTAATTACTAGAACTAGTGGTCCCCCAGTAGTCGAAATTCGACTATAATTAATTGAAATTATAAGTTTGTACATTATTATGGTTATATTATCAAAGACTACACTTCTACGTTTAATCATATTATTAATCTATTCTCAATTTGACCACAGACTTTAACAATAAATATGCGTGTGTGTGTCAAATACATGTTAGTGTGTGTAATGTTTTCTCTATTGGTTTTTTTATGCATAACTAAAAATATATTAGCATTCTGCACTTCTTCTCTATATTCTCTACTAGCGGCCCGCTCCGGCTCCGCTCGGGTCTTTAACAAAAATTTCAACGATATTTGACGTTGTATTATTTTTTTAAATAAAAGAACACTTATTGCGGCATAACTATAATAGTTAGACATATGCTGTCGTGACACATTTTGTAAATAATAATGTATTCTACAAAGTCGTAGTACATTATTTTATTCCATCACCAATAGTTTTCGCAGGGCACGCGATCTAAAGAATATTTTAGGTAATTTTTTTACACCTTGGGTTACATTATTGAAGTTTTAGTAAGGATCCCTAATTTTTTTCAAAAAACATAATAGCCTGTGTCGCTCGGGAATAGTGTAGCTTTCAAACAGTGCATGAATTTTTCAAATCGGTTCAGTAGTTTCGGAGCCTATTCAATACAAGCAAACAAACAAATCTTTCCTCTTTATAATATTAGTATAGATAAGTGTGAGAAATCTTATACTCCTCTGTCTGCGCAATTTTCGTAAAAAGGGGTACAAAACTTCTGCTTCACGCATTAATATATAGAATACTTAAGACTACCTAAGAATTACTTACTTTCCTTAACTCCGACCAGAGCTTAATTTAAATGAACCTTCGCAATGGTGTCCGGGCGTAAGTTTGCCGTAAAATCTCATGTTTATCTTAACAATTAGTGCTCGAATGGAAGGCCTAAGGCCTTTTAAAATGTTTAAACAAATTAGTCGAAGGTAAACTTGTAGGAGGGGCACTAAATGCACACGGGTCGATGGCGCGGACATCACCGGCTAGATTTGTCAACACCAACACCGTTATACACCTTCAGAAAAAAGAATAGCCGGCCAAAAATCACACATTGTCATATGGCTCCAAAGTAGGATTCCCTGTATGTAAAGGAGACTTTTTACTGGAGGTAAGACCTCTTGTGAGTCCGCACGGGTAGGTACCACCACCGTGCCTGTTTCTGTCGTGAAGCAGTAATGCGTTTCGGTTTGAAGGGTGGGGCAGGCGTTGTAACTATACTTGAGACCTTACAACTTATATCTCAAGGTGGGTGGCGCATTTACGTTGTAATGTCTATGGGCTCCAGTAACCACTTAACACCAGGTGGGCTGTGAGCTCGTCCACTCAACTAAGCAATAAAAAAAAAATACCAATGCGACCAGTAATGCGAAAAGCTCGCATTGCCTCGAAGCCTACTTTCGATTGCAAAGATCGGATAGTAGTTGCAACATAAAAACCGTGTCGTTAATACACACATACCAGTATTGAATAATAATTTTTGTACACACAAATTTGAGTGTTGCGATAATGTTTAAAATACGCTTTTATTAGCTTCAGACGTATGTATGTTAGTGTGTAACGGAATTTTTGAACATGATTTTGGCCCCCTTCAAATTGTCGGATTAACTCGAAATTTGGTATACTTATTAAGGACCGATGACAATACAATATTTAAAAAAAAATTTAATAAATTGAAACCCAACTAAAAAATGGTAATTTTTACAATAAAATAATTTTTCTTATACTATTTTTAATTCAAATTTATTAAAATTTATTTTCTATTTTTAGTTGGATTTTCTATAAAAGCGTATTTATTTTGTATAAATTATTTTTATAAATATTAACTATACTGAGATCTTAGAACTTATATCTCGAGGTGGGTGGCGCATTTACGTTGTAGATGTCTATTGGCTCCAGTAACCACTTAACACCAGGTGGGCTGTGAAATCGTCCACCCATTGAAGCCATAAAAAAAAAATACTACATATTATTTATTTTTCATTTTTAGTTGAATTGTTTTGTGTTTCTAATTACGTTACAGAAGAAAAAAATGCATGTAATTTCTTAATTATAATGTTTAAGTCTTGGTTCTCTTTAATATTGCATTTAAAAATTGAATTACCTCATATATGTATTAGAAATAAGCAGTGACCGTAAAACGCCTTAATATGACCACGCCAAGAGCTCTCCTGAATGCG